TCTGTGCCTCCTGCTGTTTGAACTCTGTTCCCTGGCTTCCTGCTGACTTGAACTCAGCACCCTCACCAGGACACAACACTGAAAACCACTAGATGGAGTCATCCCTAGCTGTTCTGAGTTCCAAGCTCAGTTGACCCCTCTCCAAGATGGCTACTGTGTCCACTGATCTGTTGCACTGGTGCCTTCCTCTGTGGAGGCTTCTGAAGTCACCAGTAGTCACTGTGTGTGCGAGCAGGTTTGACCCACCCTTGCCATGCTGTGAGTCAGGGTTCTGGGAGAAAGGGATGCTTGCTACCTCTCTCCTCTTTGTTGAAGTCTCTCTTGTCATTCTCCCTGTCAACTTGCATCACATCCTTCCTAGGTCCTGGAGACAAACTTCTCTCCTTCTCCTCCTCATGTTGCTACATTCCAGTGTGAGGAAACCAAATCTGAGAGGCTCTTTCTCTCTGTTCACCACTATACCATCTTTCCAGAAGTCCTCTGGACTTTTATTATTTACTCATATGATAAACTCCAAAGTTGAATTCCTGGGTCAAAGACTGTACCAATCGTAATGATTTTTAATATTGACCAGTATTATTGTAGAATAATTGCACCAGTTGTACTCTTACAATAATATATGGATGTATAAGTTTACCTCTTTCTTCTGAGTTCTGGGAGTTGTATTTTTTTGTTTTGTTTTGTTTGGTTTGGTTTTTGGTTTTTTGACACAGGTTTTCGCTATGTAGTTGAGACTGACCTGGAACTCACTATGTAGCCCAGGCTGGTCTTGAACTCACAGCAATCCTCCTCCCTCAGCCTCCCGAGTGCTGGGATTACAGGCATGTGCCACCACGCCTGGTTGGGAATTGTATTTTTAAAAAAAGTTTTGTTGTGCTTGGGATTGAACCTAGGGGCTTGTGGATCTAGGCACCCACCCCACCAACTGAGGCACCTCCTCCCTTGTCCCATCCTGGGAATTTTAATTTTAGCAAAATACTTTTAAAAGGATTGATGACTGGTCTGGGAATTCACACTCCCTCATCAATTCTATCTATAAATTAATTGATCATAATTTTAGCTGACTGTTTATAAAAGACAACTAGTAAAATTGAAGTGATAATTCCCCTATAAAGAAAACAGCTTGATATTCACAAATATTGGAAGGCAGGAGGTAGAAAGGGCTGGATAGGTGGAGATGATAGAGATGACTCCAGGGTATTGTGAAAAGTGTTTGGAAAAGATGGTAGATTTGAGGGATGAGATTGGTCTAGAGGGGTGGGAAGCAAGTAAGTGTCCTGAATTGGGACCATGGCATGAGATCCCAGGGCATTGTCTCATGCTTAAGAACCCAATAGGGCAAGTTTCTCTGTAAGTTGAACCTCTATTACTGTTTTGAATGGAAAGTACAACCCTGTATTAGAATGAAACCTGAATGGCTTTTTTTTTTTTTTTTAATGGCTCTTGATTTCTCTGATCTGGAAGTCTTGTCTGTGTTCGGCAGATTTAAGTAATGTTGGAGAGTAAAGGATCTTCCCAAGGGGAAGAATGGGAAGAAGAGGTGCAAAGGTGAATTGTTGAAAAAAGCTTTTAGGAAGCTGAGGATTTAGCTCAGTGGCACTGTACCTGCCTTACAAGCACAAGGTCCTGAGTTTTATTTCCAGTTCTAGAGGGTGGGGCGGCGGAGGGGAGGAGAAAGAAAACGGCTGTGAGTGTCAAGCTTCAGGACTTGGGTGCTTATTTGGTGTGTTGTAGGGAAGCTTATGGATTATTCGAACTGGTGAAAAACTCCATTTTGGTAGATGGCTTGGGAGGGAGGGAGACAGTGCCAGGGGACTACTAGTCAGTAAAATGTTTCAGGTGGGGCTGGGGATTTAGCTCAGTGGCACTAAGCCTGCCTGTCAAGCACAGTACTGAGTTCAATCCCCAGTACCAACCCCCTCCCCCAAACAAAAATGTTTCAGGGAATAGAAAAGGCTATACTGAGATGTGAGGTATTTGTGGAAGGAACTGGCAGAATATGGTGGTCATAAGGACCACAAGAAAGTGTGGTGGTGCATGCCCATAATTCCAGCACTCTGGGAGGCCCAAAGCAGGAGCCTCATAAGTTCCAGCAGAGTTTGGGCAACTTATGGAAGCCCTGTCTCAAAATAAAAAATGAAAAGGGCTGAGGATGTAGCTGAGTGGGAAGACTGGTCTTAGGTTCAATCCCCTGTAGTGCCAAAACAAATAGAAAGCCTTAGAAGGAAGACTCAAACATTGCTTAAAGCTTTTAGCCTGTTTTTTTTTTTTTTTTTTTTTTTTTTTTTTTTAAAAGAACGGTAGCCACGAGAAGGGAGCTACAGTTTTGATTCTAAAGTTATGAAATGCATGTACTTTATATAATTTTTTTGCTTATATTCAAGACCTTTTTCCAATAAGAGAAACCTTAACGTATTTCATTTTATGATCTAATATACACAGGCATACACACAGATACTCACGTCTCAGTTTCATACATACACAGATTGTGGTCCATTGCTTTAGAAAAAACAAAAATATATGAAGTATGCAATAGAACTACTACAGGAGAAGAAATTATCCAACATTATAGCCCTCATAATTTCTTTAACCAAAGCTCAAGTTTTTTTTTTTTTTTTTTTTTGGTCTTGGGGATTGAAAATGCTGGAAAAGTGATTTAGTACTGAGCCACACCCCCTAAGAGTCATGTTCTCCTTAGCTCCACTTTTCAAATTTTGTTTAGATGGTGCTGTACGTCCTTTAATGTATTTTAAAGCCCTGTTGTAGCATAGAAATAGGGAAAAAGTGGAAGTAGCATTTCTTAAGTTACCGTGGAAGAGGGAATAGAATTATAGCACTGTAAAGCAGGTTTTCTCAACCTTGGCACTTACGTTTTGTCTTAGTTAATTCTTTCTTAGCATGGGAGTGAGCCTGCACAGTGTAAGATGTTTAGCACCTTCCGTCCTCTATTGTTACAACCAAAAATGAATTCAGAAATTATCCAAGTTTCCTGGGGGGACAAGGTCTCCCACTTAACTGAGAATTACGGATCTGTGTTCAGGAACCAAATAGCTAAATACATAAAAGTTATCGGCATGCTTAGGACAAGGTGCAGCAAACAAATATTTGTTAAATAAGTGGTCAGATTTATTTTTGGTACTGGGGATTGACATCTTTCTGCTTACAAGGCAGGCAGTGAGTGGAACCACTGAGCTAAAGCCCCAGCCCTGGTCAGATTTTGATTATGAATTAAAACCAGAGTAAAACTTGGTGACTGACTTTTCAAGAGGTTTTACCACAAAAGATGTACACTGGTCAGCTTTTAATTTCATTTTCTAATTGGGATTATTATATTGGTGAGGCTGTTCTGTAACTGAGCCTTATGCTTTTTAAATTTTATTTTATTTTATATTTTGGTTTTTTGAGGCAGGGTCTCCCTATGTAGTTCAAGTTGGCCCTGAATTCCTGTGTAACCTAGGCTGACCTGGAATTCACAGTGCTCTTCCTCCTTAGCCTCCTGAGTGCTGAGATTAAAGGTGTATGCCACCACACCCAGTTGTCTAATGCTTTTTTATCCTAAAACTTCTAGAATTTCTCTGCAGACCTGTGTTCAGATTTCTTAGAGGTTTAAATCTGTAACATTTTAAGTCTGTTTTACCTTTAAAAGCTTGTATATATTCTTGTTTGAGTTTTATCGTCGCCTCGATCTCTCTCAGCTTTCTTGCTACCTAAATTATCTCCTTTACTTCATTTTTTAATTCATTTTTCATTTTTCTAACCTGAAATCCTTGCATTCTTCTTTGTGAAGACTTTTTAAAAAATTTATTTATTTACTTCTGTGCTGGGGATTGAACCTAGGGACTCATGCATGCTAGGTAAGAGCCATACCACCAAGCTACATCCATGACCATATGTACGCTATTCTTTAAAAATTTTAATTGATATATATACTTATGGGGTAGAGTGATGTTTTAATAGACATACATCGTGGGATAAGTATGTTAAGATAATTGATACATCCAATCACCTTACATATTTATCACTTTTTTGTAGTGAGGACATGTTTAATCTATTCTTTTAGCAACTTTGAAATATATAATACACCATTAACTGTGGTTACTATGCTGTGCAGTAGATTTCAAAAACGTAGCTTTTGGTTAACATCTTCCCCTACTTCTAGCCTCTGGCAAGCATCATTCTACTCTATTTCTTCAAATTGTACTTTTTAAAATTTCTCATGTAGAGAGATCATACAGTATTTTTCTTTGTACCTGATTTTTTTCCCCTTAGCATATCGTTCTTCAGATTCAAACATACTGCCATAAATGACAAGATTATCCAGTGATATATAGGGCATTTTAAAAAAATCTATTCATTGATGTACCTTTAGGACACTTAGGTTGGTTCCATGTTTTGGCTATTGTGAATAATGCTGCAGTAAACATGGGTGTGCTGGTGTGTTGTTAGCACAACTAATTTCAGTTCTTTTGATTACCCCAGCATTGGGGTTGTTGAATCAAATTGTAATTCTAGTTTTAGTTTTATGAGGACCTCTGTATTATTTTCTATAATTACATACCAGTTTATATCTCAGCCGGTAGTGTACAGGCATTCCCTTTCCTCTTCATCCTTTCCAGTGCTAAGCATTTGCCTTTCTGATGCTAACCATTCCAACAGGTGTGAGGTAATACTTTGTTGTGATTTTTACTTATATTTCCTCTAATGGTTAGTGATATTAAGTATATAAATGGGCATTTGTATGTCTTTTCATAAATGCCCATTTAGATACTTTATCTAGCTTTTAAAAAAATTAATTTCTGGTTTTCTTATTTGCTGTTGAATTGAGTTCCTTATATATATTTTTATATGTATATGTTGGCTATCAGATCTATGATTTAAATACATTTTTCTAATTCTGTATATTGTCTCTTTACTCTGTTACCTGTGCCTTGTAGAAGCATCCCACTTGTAAGTTTTTTCTTTATTGCCTGTGCTTTGGGGTTGAATCAGAAACAATTGCCATGGTTGGTGTGGTGGTGTGCTCCTATAATCCTGTCAGTTCTGGGAGGCTGAGACAAGAGGATTTCAGGTTTGGCCCAGCCCAGGCAATTTAGCAGTTTAATGAGAAAATGAAAAATAAAGAAAGAAAATGAAAAATAATGACTGGTGATATGAGAAGGCCCTGGGTTCAATGCCCAGTATCACAAAAAACAAAAGGAAAAAACCAAACCATTGCCAAGGGCAACATCAAAACATTTTGTTTGATGTTTTCTTTTAGGAATTTCATCATTTTAGATTTTATATTCAAGTCTTTAATCCATTAAAAAATTCTATGTATCTATCTATCTATCTATCTATGTATGATAAAGATATAGTTTCTGTTTGAAGACATCCTGTTTTAACCATCACCATTTAATGAGAAGACTGCTCTTTCCCCATTGTGTTTGTGGCATCTTTGTCAAAGAATGATGGGCTGAAAAATGTGTGGATAATTTCTGGGCCCCCTGTTTTATTCTGTTGGTGTGTATATCTTTTAATGCTACCACTATGTTTTGATTGCTGCAACTTTTAAATATGTTTGGAAATCATATTGTGTGATTTTTTTTTTCTAACTTTGTTCTTTTTGACAAGATTGCTTTGACTAATCAAGGTCTTGTATGGTTTGATATAAATTATAACATTGTAATTTCTGTTCTGTGTGTGTGGTCCTGGGCCTGAATGAACTCCAGGCCTCACCCAAGAGTCCCATTGCTATTTATTTATTTTTCCGGTACTGGGGTTCGGACTCAGGACCTTGTGCTTGCAAGATAGGCACAGTGCCACTGAGCTAAATCCCTGGCCCTACAATATTAATTTTTTTTTTTTTAGACAGGGTCTCCCCATGTGGTTCAGGCTGGCCTTGAACTCATTATAGAGCTCAGGCTGGCCTATATCTTCTTCCCCTCAGCCCCTGTGTATTGAAATTACAGGCATGGACCACCACGCCTGGCCAACCATATTTAACTGACGAACATGATGACCTCTCTTTATGTTTTCAGTTATTTTTCATTAATGTTTTGTAGCTTTTAACATACAGATCTTTCAGCTCCTTGGTTAAATGTATTTCTAAGTACAATATTTTGCTTTTAACAATGCTATTGTAGGCCATGCATGGTGGAGCACACCTTTAGTCCCAGCTTCAGGAAGGCTAAGGCAGGAGAATAGGCATGCATTTGAGGCCAACCTGGACTACAGTGTGTTCAGGGATAGCCTGAACTATACAGTGAGACCCTGTATTGTATTGAACAAAAAACTCTATTATAAATGAGATTGTATTGATTTTTTTACTTTATTGTTAATATGTAAAAATGTTGCTAATTTTTATATGTTGATTTTTGTGTTCTGCAATTTTACTGCACCTTTTTATTCCAGCAGCTTTTTGATGGAGTCTTTAGAGTTTTCTATATAACATCATGTCATCTGCAAATGGAAACACTTTTATTCCTTCATTTCCAATTTAAATGCCTTTTCTTTTTCTTTTTCTTGTTTTATTTATTTATTTGTTTGTTTATTTATTTATTTATTTTTGTGGTACCAGGGATCAAACTTGGGTCCTTGTGCTTGTGGTGGTGGAACCACTGAGCTAAATTCCTGGCCCCCACCTTTTCTTTTTCTTATCTAATAGTTTTGGCTAGGAGTTACAAAACTATACCAAATAGAGAATGGACATTCTTTTGTTGTTCCTAATTTCAAAGGAAAGCCTTTCAGTTTTTCACTGGTCAGTAGATTAGTTGCTTCTCATATATGGTCTTTATCATATTGAAATATATTCTTCCTATACTTAATTCATTGATGTTTTAAAAATCTTGATAAGATATTAAATTTTTGTCAAGTGCTTTTTTTGAATCTATTACGATGCTCATATGAGTTTTATCCTTCATTCTATCAGTGTGGTGCATCACATTTATTGATTTACATATAGTGAGACTTTCTTACATCCTAGGAATGAATCCCATTTGATAATGGTGATAATACTGTTGAATTTGGTTTGCTGCTAGTTTTTTTTTTTTTTTTTTTTTTTGAGACAGGGTCTTCCTAAGTAGTTCTGGTTGGCCTTGAACTTAAACTACACAGCCTCGAATTTACAGCAATCTTTCTGCCTCAGTTTCCCAAGTGCTTGGATTACAGGCATGTGCCACCATGCTCCGGAGTTTGCTGCTGCAAGTATTTTGGTGAGGATTTTACAACTGTCTTACTCAGGGATATTGGTCTGAAGTTTTCTATTTGTGTGATACCCTTGTCTAGCTTTGGTATGAAGATAATTCTGACTTTGTCACGACTTTTCATAGCATTTTCTGCTCTTCATGTTTTTGAGAAATTTGAGAATAATGGGTGTTAATTCTTTAAAATCCTTGTTAGGATAAACTGGTTACTACAGCTTTGTTCTTTGTTTGGAAATCAAGTAGTATGTTTTTAAAAACTTTTGTCTGTATGTGTGTGTTTGGTAGCTAAGCTTGCTTTGGTTATTAATGGTGTTGTATATTTTCATATAAATTTTAGCATTATTTTTCTATTTCTGTGAACCATAAGCTTCTAGCTGCCCTCCATCATTTTCCTTATTTCTTATACTCTGTTCACATTTTCTATTTCTCCACAATTCAGTCTTGGTAGCCCCCCCCCAGGAATTTGTCATATTTTAAAAGATCGTCCAATTTGTTTGCATTTCCTTATTTGTAGTAGTCCTAATGATCCTTTACATTTCTGTGTTGTTGGCTGTAATGTCTCCATTTTATTACTGATTTTTTAAAAAGTTGTCTTTATTTCTTAGTCTAGGTAAAGGTCTGCCAATTTTTTCTTTTTAATCTTTTGGAAAAACCAGCTTGTAGTTCATTGATCCTTTGAGTGCTTTTCCTATCTTTATTTCATTTATTTCTAATCTAATCATTATTTCCTTCTTTTTGCTGACTTTAGATGTGCTTTTTGTTTTCCTTGTGTTATAAAGTTAATTGTTTATGTGGGATCTTTCTTTAATATAGACAATTATTGCTATAGACTGTTAGAACTGCTTTTGCAGAATTCTATAATTTTTTGAATTTCCTTTTGATTTCTTCTTTGACCCATTTGTTGTTTAGAAGTATTTGCAAATTTTTAATTTTCATAATTTTCAATTGTGTTACTAATTTTTAGTTTAATATTGTCAAAAAAGAAACATGATATAATTTTATTCTTGAATTTGTTGTGACTTCTGGTGTAACATATGATCTGCCTTGGAGAATTTTCTATGTGTACTTGAGAAGAATGTATATTCTGCTGCTATTGGGTAGAATGTTCTGTTTATATCTATTAGGTCCATTTGGCCTCCAGCATGTTCAGGTCAGTGTTTCCTTATTGATTTTTGCTTGGATGATCTGTTATTAAAAATGGAGGTCTTGGCTGGATGTGGTGGTGCACACCTATAATCCCAGTGTTTGGGAAGAGGATTGCTGTATGTTCTAGACCAGCTTGTGTTACATAGTGAGACTATGTCTCCCCCAAGACTAAACCAAAATCTTCCCATTTTTGCTGTTTTTCATAATTTGTATCTTCTCTTTTTGGTCAGCCATACTCGAAGTTTGTTAATTTTACCAACCTGTTAACAAAAGAGTTAGGTTTTGGTTTAATTGTTGTGGTTTTTGTTGTTGTTGTTGTTGTTTGTTTGTTTTTGTGGTGCTGATACCATTGCTTTTTTTTTAGTGTAAAAATATATCAAACGTAAAATTTACCACCTTAGTCATTTTTAAGTGTCAAGTCTAACTCCTGCTGATTTTTTATTTAATTAAAAAAAATTTTTTTTGGTATGGGTTTCCCTTTTTTGTTGACCAGCCTGGGCTTGAACTCATAATCCTTCTGCCTCAGCCTCACAAGAAGCTGGGATTACTGGTCTGCAGCTCCATACCTGATTGATTGATTGATTGGTACCTGGGATTGAACTTTGGGACCTTGCACTTGCTTGTGAGGCAGGCAGGGGAACCACTGGGCTAAATCCCTGGCCCTCCATGCCTGATTTTAACTGTATAGTTTCAGAGTGATAAATAACTACATAATTCTATTTGTAATTTGTACAGCTATCATTACCATCCATCTCTTTAACTCTTTTCATCTTGTAGAATTTATTCATATTTATTAAGCAGTATCTCCCTGTTCACCATCCCCTTGGCCCCTGGCGAACACTATTCTATGTGTCTCTCTGATTTTGATTACTCTTAAGTACTTTAAGTGGAATTGTTCAGAATTTGTGTTTCATAAGTGCCTTAGCATGCCCGCAGAATGTCCTCAGGGCTCATCTACGCTGTAGTATATAACCTGTGCCAGAATTTATTTCCTTTATAAGGGAGAATAGTATTCTTTAATATATACCACCTTTTGTTTATCTGTATATTCCTTGATGGACACTTTGGTTGCTTCCATGGTTTAGCTATTGTGAACAGTGCTGTTACGAATGCAAGTGCGCACATACCCCTTTTAGGCATATACCTAGAATTGGAATTTCTGGGTCATATGATTCTAATGAGAGGAGGCTGCCATGTTGTTTTTTCAGAGTGACTGGACCTTTTTACATTCCTAGTAGTGCCTCACCAACTTTGTACACTCTGTTGATGATGGCTGCCGTGATGGGTATAGGGTGGTACCTCTTAGTGGTGATTTGTGTTTGATCCTGTTCAATCCTGAGGAAAAATGTTCAAGTCTTTTGCCCTTCCTTACTTCCTTCCTTCCCTCCCTCCCTTTCTTCCTTCCTTTCTTTTTCTTTCTTTTTCCTGGTACTGGGGGTTTAACTCATGATCTTACACTTGCAAGCAGGCACAGTGCCACTGAGTTAAATCCCTACCCCTTTTTTATCAGTTTTTTAATTGAGTTTTTTTGTTGTTGATTTCTAGGAGTTCTGTATATGTTTTGGATACTAATGAATTAGTAATTGCTTTTTACTAATTTGTTTGTTTTCAACTTTATTGATTTGTACTCTTATTTCCCTTAGCTGGACTTGTATTTATTTTTGTCTTTTTTCCTAGTTTCTTAAAGTGGTTACTTGCAATATTATTTATCTGGGTACTTTGTTTTCTAACATAAGCACGG